AAATATCTACAGAGTTGCTGCAGTTAGTTTTAGAAATTGTCATTGTGGTGATGTAAAAACATAAATGCATTTTTAAACAGTTCTCTGGACGGTGTCCTTCATGAAGGAGGGGTCGGAGCGCATTTCAGGAGCATGAGGGCAGTTAGAGAAGGGAACTGCTTATGTTTTGGGTGCGTTTATACATAGTGATTTTTAGTAAACATAAGCTCGTGGAGAGAAAGTGAAAAGGGAGGCTACTGAGGTGTCTCTCTTCCTCTTCCTTCACCTTGGTGAAGTGTGGGGGTTAGGAGCAGGAAGAACATGGAACTGGTCCACCTTGAAGAAGAGCTGCAATTCAGCTGTCCCGTGCTGGCCCCCTCGTGGTTGGTTGGTGGCACGCGGTGTCCACGCTTGGGTGCAGGCGTCTTGTTCCCCCATCTGTGGTTTTCCAGGTACTTTCTTGGATGTGATCTCATTTGCTTCCCAAAACAGCTTTAGAGGTAGGAGTTTTTATATCTACTTTAATCAAGAGGAAACTAAATCACAGTGTTAAAGAACTTGTCCTGGATTGTTTATTTATGTGGAAGATAGGAGCTCAAAACTTTCTCCTGATGGAAAAGTGTGAAATAATAGAGTCCAACTTATGTTTCTGATGTTGGAGAAGACATAGAGTAGGGGAATAATCAGATATGGGTGGCATCGTTCAATAAGGCTTCTTGAAGGGTGTGAGCTGGGAGGAGGGTTTTTAGAAGAGAGGTCGTGGCTACAAGAGGAGAGTGTGGAGAGACTTTTGTCACAAAGCAACAAAAGTCAGCATTGGAGTCAACTCTGTGACCCAATGTGTTAATGAACACGCTGTTCTGATTGCAAAGGTCTCCGGAGCGATACAGTGTTTCTATATACACCTTCTATGGATTCTCAGAGAGTTGCAACGAAACGCATTTAGAACAAATGATAGCAAACATGGTAGATGCTTCCTTTGTTTCGGAGGATACTTTGGAGTTCTCAGTGTGTTCGTGTGATCACGTATCATTAGAAAGAGAGGGATGTGGAGAGGGAGCCTAACTATCCAGACAGGGTCTCTCGAGGGGTCAGTC